ACTTTTTATGTAGTAGGTGTTGGTGTGTGTGTGAGAGAAAGAAACATATCGACAACTAGGTCTGTTGCTGTAACTAATGACTTGTGTTGTAAACCCAGCATGTAGAAATAGTTTGTTGCTGTATCGAGGTGGCCCTGTGGAGTTTAGAGCTGCAGTTCTGACTGTGACCACGACTCCAACATCTCTGCAGAGCCCAGCACTGTTCCTATAGGTACAGCAGCAATGCATAAAAGTGGAGATGAGAGCCATAAGATGATGTAAGCAAGGCCAGTTTGAGAGAATTTAATGAGTTTAAATTTTTTATGAGGTAGGATATAAATTAGTTCTTTCTTATACGTCAAATTAGTGAGTAATGACAAAGCCTGTTTTTTGTTTTTTACTGAAGATCACTTTTATTTCATTATATTTGACAATTGCTGTTCAGTCTTTATCTGCCAGTTGTCTTCAAAAGTTTTTATGTTTTTTTTTCATGTTCAAATATAGTATAGATATATCAAGATAAACCACTTGAATTCTTTTTTTTTATTTGGAAAAACTATACAAAATACAGTTTTGAACAAAATTAGACAACAGCTTGTTTTTGTGATACTTGAGTAGCTGCTCCAGGTCCAGTGTGTAGGTTTCAGTGGCAGATTGCAACACCCTTGCTTCACCCTCCTCTTCCAAGTGCGAAGGACAAACTACAGTGGCTGCGAAAACACGTAAATGGCCCCATCTACAGTCAGCCTTTTGGACTATTCATAGGATCCGTGCCGTCTGTAGATAAAAACGACTCATTCTAAGGTAACAAAAACATTCTTATTTACAGGTGATTATACACTAATGAAAACATATTATTCCATTTCTGCCAATAGATCCTCCTAAATGTTACACACTGGACATTTAACACCAGATGATGAAAGGCATGTACTTGCTGTATGTGACCTCTACTTCACTTATTGCTCTTACTGTTTACTTAAGTGTGAATTTTAATGACCTTACGCACAACTAACTGGTAATTTCCTGGAGGAAATAGTGCCTCGTAAACATGATGTAATGTAAACATGATCGTGAGTGTGTGTGCACCTAAGATCAAAGGAACGAGTGGATCGTAACTACACAAACACACACTCCATATTGGAACCATACTGTCAGTGAAGTAAACAAATAAGTGAACTTTAGTTATTTGTGCACATCACGGTCAAAGAGTGCGTGCGTGCGTGCGTGCGTGTATGTGTATGTGTATGTGTATGTGTCTGTGTGTGTGTGTGTGTGTGTGTGTGTGTGTGTGTGTGTGTGTGTTTTACCGTAACAAGGATACATGCTCATAATTTCAGTGGAAACAAACACATGTTCATTTTGTAATTTATGTCTTCCCCTTTTACTGTCTTCTATTCTTTTTCTCAACAGAACAGTGACTCATTGTTTTGTCTGCATATTATCTCAATCAGGAGAATGAGTGCTTGCTAATAGGAATTTCTAGTCCCAGAGCCAGTTGTGTGTGTGTGTGTTTGTATGTGTGTTTGTGTATGTTTTTAGTTAGTGGGGAATTCATCATTTCCTGACACTGGAAACACTAAACAAACAGGGGAGCCTCTAGCCTCTAATTAGGCTGTACGCTCCAGCACTTAAACTTATTAGCACCGGAGGGGATGTTTTTGCGTGTTTGTGTTTGTGTGTGTGTGTGTGTGTCCTCTCTGTGTTTGTACCAAGGTGGTCCAAGTAGTGTGTTAAGTTGATAACCACTTTGATGCATGCTGATGTGTCCTCTAATTACTCCGTATACATGCCTGCTGGGTGGTTGACAACACTTTCTCACTCCCAACTCATCACATATGCAGCTTGGTCAGTGGGCCTACGCGCCAAACTATGCTACTCTACGTACCGCTCTACCATCAGTTTTACACGTGCATAGCTCTGCTGTCAAGTTAGCAATAATAAATATGCAACGTCTGATTATACTTTCAAAATCAAGCTTGCTATGTTATTAAATGGTGGCAGTTTGGTTAGGGTTAAGAAACAAAACCACTTGGTAAGGTTAGGTGAAGTTCATGGTTTGGGTTAAAATAAGTGAGTTAAGTCACTCAAGGCACCAGTGTGTAACATTTAGTGGCATCTAGTGGGGAAGTTGCAGACTGCAATCATCTGAATACAGCTCAGCTTTCCAATAATGTAGGAGAAACTACTGTGGCTGCGAAACATGCAAAATACGCAAAAGGCCCTATTTAGAGCCAGTGATTGTATGGTGGTTCATCATAGTGGCTCCGTCTGTAGATATAAACGGCTCATTCTGCAGTAAAAGAAACAGAACAATTATTATTTCAGGTGATTATACACTAAAAAGAACATACCTATGAATATTGTATTCCATTTCTGCAAATGGATCCTCCTAAATGTTGCACATAGTTTTAAAGCGTTGTACGGTTGAGTTGAGGCCCACAGATGATTTTTGAGTATTGAGAATTGAGTCACCCTTACTAATTAAACATTTGGAAAGCCATTTTGTGGTTGTAAATCTTAACTTCCAATTATTGAGCACAGATGGTCTTTCTCCCCACACTTACCCATTATATACTGATGCAGTTTGACAGAGTTGTGCTGTGAGGTGCCCATTTCAAACACAATAATTTTCTGGTGGACCCAGGCATCTCTTTGTTTTTCAAAAAAGACATGAGTTTAAATAATCTTGATAATGTTGTGATTTATTCATTTAACAATGAGCAAATCTGACAAATCAGAATAAAGCCTTAATCAGAGCAAATATGTCATAAATAATTGTTCTGTTTTAAAATACATAGTTTATTTATTCTTTATTCATTCAGGCAGTCTCATTTAAGATTAATATCTCTTTTCCAAGAGAGACCTGAGCACCAGAAAAATTCACAATCCACAAACAGAAACGACGCAACTGCACAATATACAAGGAATTAATGAAAACAGTTACAAGAATCATAAAAAACATCAGATAATAAAGCTTTAAAATCTCCATGGGGAACGTAAGAGTCTAGTTTGAGGGCAGTTTGCGGTTCCTTCCACTTATAAGGTGCATCATACCTAACACCAACATTAGTGAGTACATGAGGGATATCTAGGGTTAAGTAGTTACTGGATAGATAAATTAATAACATAAGATGGCTATTTCTCCGTGACTGTAAGGAAGTCCATCCATTCTGAGACTACATGCTAAGTGCTATAGTATGCTACAGGGGGATGTGTACTGTATGTGTGCAAGCTGCCTACTGCATTCAGTGAGTTAGCCGTCGTGCACTGCTCATGAAGTCAGATTTGCAGCACAACATATAAACATACATTCAAACACACTAACAGCACGTTATATCTGGGCACTTTGTATTCATATCTGGGTAAGAACTGGTGACCTATGTAAACTGTCACATAAACAGTAACAGGGCTATTCTGATTTGTCACAAGAAATTCCCAAAGTACGAGTGTCAGCTGAGGGTTACAGTTGTCACCAACTGACACATTCAATCGTCACTCGAACTGACAGATTTGCTTGTCACTCAGAGCCGTGAGGAAGAATCGGAAGGAGACACAGGGAATAAGAAACAATAAAGAAAAGGGAAAACATTGAAGTAATCAGGGAGATGGTTAAAATATGTCAGAGTAATGTGTAATGAGGAAAGAACAGACTGAGGTTTGTAAGGTCTTCATGTATACATACTGTATACAGACTGTGTGTACGTCTCAGTGTACCACAGACCAGAGTAATGAACAGGGTCTATCTCTGTGACCTCTGTGGTACAGAGTGGCAGAAGAGTCAAACCTGGTCGATAACTGAGTGACTCTCCTCCTCGTTGTGTATTCTCAGATGTAAGGAAACACAATCCCAGCCATTAAATATTATTGTACAGACAGTAAGACACAGCATGCAATCAGTCCCAAAGGCACTCTACAGGATGCTTATTATAGTATATATGGATAAGGGTTATTTTTATTTCCTTTTTAAAAGTAGGGTTAGCTTTCTATTGTGCGGATTTGTGGTACTATCATACTCTCCCAGTTTTCTCTTTATTACTATTAACTTACTTTATATTATTCTGTGCAGGCATGAGACAAAGCTGTTGAACATTGCCCTTTTTGGAGGAAAGCAACTTTTAGAATCATGGATACAAAAACTGTGTTAAAATCTAAAAAATCTCTAACTGCAGCTGAATGAGGCAGACGACCACCCACCTAGAGCCGAGGGGTCTGTCCGAGGTTTCTGCCTCTTAAAAGGAACATTTTCCTTGCCACCGTCGCCAAGTGCTTGCTCATGGTGGGAACTGTTGGGTCTCTGTAAATAATTTTAGGAGTACAGTCTAGAACTGCTCTATTTGAAATTCCAGCTTCTTTAGTTGTTATTGTTTCTAAATCTGCAAAAATACACAAAACAATTAGTTTTAGGGGGACTTAAGGGGCTACAATACTGGGAGGTTTGTCTCCATCTTATTAACAGTAAGAAAATGAAATGAATTAAATGAAATTGATTGTAGTGTATTCTTTGGGTGGGATATGATCAATGATATAAATAAATAAAGCTGAGTGCGTTCTGAGACATGTGCATTTGTATTTGTACCTAGAAAGACAGTCAGAATGATCTTCTACCTGTCTGCACTAGCTGCACAGCCGGCAGAGCTCCGCAGGCTGCCAGTCAGCCTGCTTTCCCCATCTGGGAGCTTTGATTGCGGGGGAGGTGGCAGCAGGGATCTGGGTAGTATAGCATGAGCTCTGGGTGTTTGGGTGTCTCCTACATTCTTCAGACAGACCAGCTAGCCACCAGACTATAAAACACACTTAGGTGCACACTTGTTCTCTTGGAGTGAGCTCCTCGTCTGACATTGTCTGAGAGGGTAAATTAATACATATTATCAGTTTGTTGTCCATTTTTCTCCTATCAATTATGTTTACTACAATGTAATTTTACTTTTACTTCATGCTGCAAACTATATGTTCTTTTGTATCTTTGTTGTTTATCCTGTGTGTGTGTGTGTTGTGTGTTTGTGCGTTTTGTGTGTGTGCAGGCAGTGCCGAAACCCATAGCCATGGAGCCATGTTGGGGGAGCAGAGCAGGTGTTCTGACGGTGCTGCTGTATCTGCCCAGAGTCCCGTCTGGAATACCTCCACCAGGACAGTCTGGTATGAATCACACAAATAAACACAGACAGACAAGTAAACAACATATAGAAGGTGTCATTTCAGCTTCTAATCATCTCCTCTTTTGGTGGCGGTTTTGGTGGCGGTCAAACTTTTTTTAACTGATTCTGATCATACTGAGGAATGATAATTTTCTCAGGCTCGACAGTGGTGGCAGTCGTAGCTAGGAACCTACATTAGTGTATTGGCTATAAGATTTGGAAGCTTCTGTTTTCATTTTGATGCACATTTTGTTTCCATGTGCATAGTTGTGAACTTATTTGCTGCCATATTTTCCCTAAACTACTTCTGCAGTGGTGTGTATGTTGTTTGTGAGGATTGACTTCTAACTTGATGTTGGTCTCTTTGTATGCTTGGCATATATTGTCCAGTAAGGTGGTGCACAATATTCTGCTTTTTAAAGGGAAAAAAGTGCTGCCTCAATCCTATTTTGTGCTGATAATTTGAAAAGGCAGGTCGTGCATAATGACCAGCTGCAGTAGCTGCCACTATCAGCAGACAGTGTTTATGTCCAACTGTCAGACACTTAGCAGGCAAAGCTAATGTGACTTTTTATGATAAACTGTAACAAATTTCAAATCTGCTACTGGTGAGTTCTCCATTGTCATTTGATTGTCGTCGTTGTTGTTGTAAACTGTCAGCTGTCTAAGATCCATGAAATCTCACATCTTTGTCATTGCACGCTCACAAAAACAGTCCACACCATTTGTGATCCTTTTACAAGTTGGAACTGTTTTCAGCAGCTCAACAATGTCGAAGAAGACTCCAGATGCAGCGAGCGGTGCTTCTCGCGTGCCTTGCGGCAGATCCCCATCAGCTCTCATGTAAAAACAAAAGCAGAGTAAACACACTAAAATGCGATGGCATCCAAGGCACCATCAATAGTGTCTTGATGTTTCCCGGTGCCATCATCATTAGAACCGTTTTCAATCACATCAAAATAACAGGGTAGAGTAACAGTGGGTCTTATAGCCCAGAGGTTACCCTGCAAGTCATACCTTCAGTTGAGGAAGACCAAATAGATTATTCTTTCAATCTATGAGTACCAGTTTACTCCCTAAAATGTAAATGCAGAGCTCTGGCCCATCGTATCTGCTCATATGAGCCCGAAATCTGTGTTTAATTTTCTGTAGCTCTGCATCCAACAGTGGCAATAAGCGAGAAGCAACATGTTTTTTCCCTACAGTGAGTAAACGTTTGTACTTGTTTATGTTTATTCTGTTCTGGAAAAGTTTGTTGTTATTGGGAAATCCTTTTATAAACAGTTCCTGAAGTTTTCTACGTTTAAAATAAAACTTGACAATCAGAATCTGTAAAGTCTCAAGACAAGTGTTGTGGTTCCGGGTATGAACTGCTACTCACCTCGACTTCATTTTGAGAGCATTTGTATATATCTGCACTCAGTCTTAACAAGGTCAGTGTGTGTTTTGCTCTAATCTAATATATTATCACTTCTCTCGTGTCCCTAGACTTGCAGTTTAAGCTGTTTGGAGCTCAAAACTAATTGAACATTTCCAGTCAATTGTTGACAAAAACACTGGTTCTAGCTGCAACTCTTTTTTCATTCTCTGCTTTGATCGTGATAGGCATTTCCATTCACTTATGAACTTATATAATGAATCAGTGAATCAAAAATGGTCTGAAGACCTACAAGCAATCAGAGCAACAAAACTTGAGGTTTAGGGCTGCCCCCTAATAGACTTAATGGTTTGAGGATATGAAGAATCTTAGTCGCCACAATTTCTATTAGTCAGGTAGTGGCACAAAAACAAAAACAATGTTAAACCCCCTTCATGAGCTGCACCTAGTCACCGCGACCAAAGTGTCAGGGTATTGATGCAACACGGATGTTTTCTTGTGTAACACAGGGAGTCACTTACTGGTGCACTGTTGCATATGCTAACTGAACTAGCTGCTGTAACTAGCTAGTTAGGGGTCCTATTGGCTGACCGTACCCGGACTGGGAGCTTAAAGGACACAGGGAGTTTTAAGTGTTTTAAGTGCGGTTGTTTGTTCTTCTAGACACAATATACCATCCAGTTAATTTAATACTGACGTGATAGCAGATTCAACAGAACGTTCCGCATTAGCAGCAACCATCTCGATCGTTTTTTAAAATGCGTCAGCGGTGCTCCTCTAAAAAGTCGTTGGATCAAACCCGCCCCGTACTGAATATTTGGCTGTGACTGGCCCGACCTGGGCTAGGTCAGCTGGAAATCTATCTGAACAGGAAGGAGAATAGATGCATCTGTCAGAGCAAATAAAACATGAGCTTGCATATTCATCTGGTTCCCAGGCTAACACTTTAAAGCATATGGTTCCAATCAAAATGTTTTTATATTGTGATACCAGTAGGTTCTTACTTTTGGCGTCAGCATGTTTTTTACAGTGATATAATGAATTATTCAAAAAAACTCTTGACATATGGCACCTTTTAAAGAAGGTCTGATGTGGTTAGACCTGCCTGGTTTCCCCCCAACACTTACTGTTGGATCAATTGTTCCCCTGAATGAGACATCCTGACTTTCCAAAGTCTGAGCTCATGTTGCTGCTATAGACGGACGACATACGATATCCCCCACTCGCTGCAGCCGACCACCACGCGGCTGTAGAAATCACTGGAAAGACATCAGCACTTCCTCACAGACCTGACCAAGGCCTGGAGCTTTATGCACAGTCAGCAAGAGGCCAATCTTCCCTTCAGCTCATCTTCCACCTCAGTCAACCTCTCAGACTGCCTCAGCGCTCACACGTATACATTTATTCTTCCAGACCTTTCTCTCTTTAAATTTTCCTTCTCCCCTGCTGCTTTTTGGAAGACTGCTGTCAGTTTGTCTGCTAGTAGTTTTGGTCTTCATAAAGTGGATTGTATGTAACTGGAGCAGGAAGCAAAGCCTTCAACACGACCAGTACCTCAGAGGAAACCAGAAGAGCAGATGCAAAATGAAGCACTTTGCATGAAAGCAGTTTTTCTCAAGCCAGAAGGAGATTTACGTTGAAGCCTTTAAAACGTGTCACTGTAGTCTAATAAAGACCATGGAAAAGGGAATGAAAGGTGTCAGTATGTGTGAGAATGACTGCGTAAAGGAGCGAAAGTGGTGCACCCAGTGGTTATGATGATAAAAAAAAAAACAGAGGTGGCAAGTAAGTGCATTAGAGGCAACTGGAAGAACAGTAAACAGCTTAAAGTGTCCAAGACATCGTATAGAAATAAAACACATACAGCAAAATCTCTGTTAACCTAAATCTAAATACATTCTAATGAGTCTGATTTTAAATGAATATGCCAATTTATTTGCTACAGTTGCCCTGCAAATGTTGTGGGACCCTATATGGGACCTTGTAAAAAGGTCACAGAAAGCGACGATGTAAATGGTGTACGGCTTGGATTTGACGTTTGCCTTCATAAATACCAAACGTGTTCAAATAAGATCCTGGTTGAAGGAAGAAAGGACTTTTCCTTTAAGAACAGGTGTATAGTCACTACTAAACTAAACCTAAACTTCCTACACAGTGAATTGCACAGCTATAGTTTGCTCTAACACTCTAGCAGACAGACATTCAGTAATTGTTCAGTTAAAGGTTAAAATGAGCAATCAAGCTCCTTTAATGCAGTGTGACGATCAATGCCTTGTTTCCAGTTTTTTCAATTTTAACTGTAACGCCCATAATGGAGGTCACATAGGTGAAAATCCTTGTTTTACTTCACATCTATCACACTGATTACACTTGAAGATGTCTTATATCAGATTTTTGGCTCCTTAAGTGTTATGAGAAGCTTACTGGGGTCTTTATTTGCTCATTTTAGTCTCGGTCAGATGTTGCAATATGAATATACCAATATACAGGCAGGGACATGGAAGACATAACGCAGAAATAAAAATAACCGTGTCTCAAATGGATTAGCGCTTTGCAGAGACTTAAATCTCAAACCTAAATCTGGCCAATGTCTGAGTCTTTAAGACACAAACTGGCTGAACCTGACTGGTTCTGCCAAAACTTAAAACCTAAATGTGAACAGACACCAGGAGCTATATTTTTCTTAGTGAAATATGCTCCCCAGGCTAATGCAACACTTGGCTACTTGAGATGACTTGCATTGATGCTGAAGATTGGCACAGTCAGGGAGAGAATGACACAAATTTCTTGGGAAATTACGTTTGAAGTGAACCAAACCTGAGGCTTTACACAACAAAATTGCCAATCTGAAACCCAATAGTGTTGGGAACTGTCAGGTTTAGCAGAACTCTACAAGGATTCTATGTTTGCATCATGAGATCATGAGCACTTTAATTGTGGATGGAAAAAAAAGTTCTGTTATTTCACAGGTGTTTTTTTATGATCACCTTCGCCTTTTACTTCTTTACCTTGCTCTCGCCGTATCAGGCTCATTTTAAGGAAATTAGCCCAAGAAGAGGCTCGTCACTTCTAGTCAGGCTGCTCTCTGGGGAATGTCCAGGCTCTTCTGTTGTTTCTCTCATCAAATCAATGAATCGTTGAGTCCATGGTAGTGTCTTGGTGTCTGTGTAGTAATCTGAGAGTCAGTCATGATCAAAGTGATCCCACATATGAACACACAAGCAACAACGCACATGCAAACACGTAAACACACGATACAACTTCAACAAGGAGCAGATAAATGTTGTAAAAACATAAATCACCCACCCAACATCCATCCCCAGTCTCTCGCGTCTCTCCTCCCTCCATCCTCCCACCCTTCTATTCCCTAGAGAGACTCTCGGCATAGGGTCAGACAGCAGTCCTCCATTGATGTTCGCATGTATGAACGTGAAGTCACTGCAGGCTAGCCCCGCCCACCCTCGGTGGGAGACACTTCAAGAGGAATCCTCGATGAGCAAGCCTATTTTAGCTTGCCTTCCCTCGCACAGTCTTCTCTTTGTTTTCTTCTTGTCCTCCTTTGCTCTGCTCCCCTGAGGTGTTACCATTAACTGACCCCTTCATATGTAAGAGGGAGAAGAAGA